CCATATTATCAAATGTTATGCGTGTGTGTGACTGAAGCTGAAACACGGTTGTGAATGGCTGACTAAGATTGAAAGTGACCAGTGAGAAGTGAAATGGAATCTGAGGGTGTCACAAGCAGACCTCTGTAAATTCCCTCTGTGGTGCACTCAGCATCATGTTGAGCTTTAAAGGGGCCATCTGCAGTTCAAACAACAGCAAGCGGCCACCCCGCCACTGTTTTGGTAAACAGCTGATCTCTGACGTGAGATGAGATGTCTTTGGGCGCTGAATGAGTAGCATGTGACTCCAGCTCTACATGTGCTGTCGGCTGTTGTCACCCAGTGATTTTTGCTTCACATCAAACTCTCGTGTTGTGTTGCATCTCTTACCGGCTACGCCCTGTTCTATTTGCTTTTCACTCGTGGCTTCAGAGGCTCAGGGCATACCTTATCAAGTACACTAAAATGCTCTAAACAAGCTCGAAAAGGGACAAACAATTTGGATGCGTTGTGTATACAGTCGAGGAGATGGCGTCCGGCATTTCGAAGCAGACGGCTAACCAAATATGGCATTTGTCCAACATTTCGTTTTCAAGTGCTCACAGGCTACCAATGGTGTCACCCTCCCAAAGCGTCCCTGTCACAAACTCCTAATACATCAGCCACATGTAGCCTGTCTAATGCCATGTCCTGTTTCTATTAAAGGTTGGAGTTTTTCTTTTCGCTAGACCCTCTCTACCTTTATTTGCCAATCTGTTCCACTTGTTTGACAGGCTCGGTTTAGTTGACATAGCCTAGCTATGGAGTGTGTACTGAACCTCTGGCACATGTGTTTGTCAGTACACAGGCGCTGGGGTGTATCATATTTGTGTAGGCCTAATTTATGATAGCTGTTGTGTTTGTGTGTGTGTGTGTGTGTGTGTGTGTGTGTGTGTGTGTGTGTGTGTGTGTGTGTGTGTCCCTACCCGCCTGCCCAGTGGAGTGCTGTCTGTCTGTAGTGAGTCAGTGCAGTGCCAGTGGGTGGTGCAGCAAACTGGAGAGAGACCTGGTATTAATCTAAACAGAGAATGAGATTCCTTCCTTCCATAACCACGTTTCCATCCACAGGTTTTTGCGAGTAAAGTCATACAGTATACAGTGCATTCGGAAAGTATTCAGACCCTTTCACTTTTTCCACATTTTGTTACGTTACAGCCTTATTCTGAAATGGATTAAATAGTTTTTTCCCCTTCATCAATCTACACACACTAACCCATAATGACAAAGCAAAAACAGGTTTTTAGAAATATTTGCAAAAAAATACTAAAATATTACATTTACATAAGTATTCAGACCCTTTACTCAGTACTTTGTTAAAGCACCTTTGGCAGCGATTACAGCCTCGAGTCTTCTTGGGTATGACGCTACAAGCTTGGCACACCTGTATTTGGGGAGTTTTTCCCATTCTTCTCTGCAGATCCTCTCAAGCTCTGTCAGGTTGGATGGGGAGCGTCGCTGTACAGCTATTTTCAGATCTCTCCAGAGGTGTTCGATTGGGTTCAAGTCTGTGTTCTGGCTGGGCCGGTCAAGGACATTCAGAGACTTGTCCCCAAGCCACTCCTTCGTTGTCTTGGCTGTGTGCTTAGGGTTGTTGTCCTGTTGGAAGGTGAACCTTCGTCCCAGTCTGAGGACCTGAGCGGTCTGGAGTAGGTTTTCATCAAGGATCACTTTCCCTCGATCCTGACTAGTCTCCCAGTCCCTGCCGCTGAAAAACATCCCCACAGCATGATGCTGCTACCACCATGCGTCACCGTAGGTATGGTATTGGCCAGGTGATGAGTGGTGCCTGGTTTCCTCCAGACGTGATGCTTGACATTCAGGTCAAAGAGTTCAATCTTGATTTCATCAGACCAGATAATCTTGTTTCTCATGGTCAGAGTCCTTTTAGGTGCCTTTTGGCAAACTCCAAGCGGGCTGTCATGTGCCTTTTATTGAGGAGTGGCTTCCGTCTGGCCACTCTACCATAAAGGCCTGATTGGTGGAGTGCTGCAGAGATGGCTGTCATTCTGGAAGGTTCTCCAATCTCCACAGAAGAACTCTGGAGCTCTGTCAGTGACCATCGGGTTCTTGGTCACCTCCCTGACCATGGCCCTCATCCCCCGATTGCTCAATTTGGCCGGGCGGCCAGCTCTAGGAAGAGTCTTGGTGGTTCCAAACTTCTTCCATTTGAATGATGGAGGCCACTGTGTTCTTGGGGACCTTCAATGCTGCAGACATTTTTTGGTACCCTTCCCCAGATCTGTGCCTTGACACAATCCTGTCTTGGAGCTCTACGGACAATTCCTTCAACCTCATGGCTTGGTCAACTGTGGGACCTTGTATAGACAGGTGTATGCCTTTCCAAATCATGTCCAATCAATTGAATTTACCACAGGTGGACTCCAATCAAGTTGTAGAAACATCTCAAGGATGATCAATGGAAACAGGATGCACCTGAGCTCAATTTCGAGTCTCATTGCAAAGAGTCTGAATACTTATGTAAATAAGGTATGTGTTTGTTTTTTTAATACATCTGCAAAAATTTCCAAAAACCTGTGTTCGCTTTGTCATTATGGGGTATTGTGTGTAGATTGAGGGGAAAAAATAATTTTATCCATTTTAGAATAAGGCTGTAACATAACAAAATGTGGAAAAAGTGAAGGGGTCTGAATACTTCCTGAATGCACTGTATAAAAATGGAAATGGGAAGTTTTGGTACTCTATGCTGACAGATAATTTGTTAGTTCGACATGGTGGGATCTTTTTTTGTCGGTAAAATCAATAATGCAAGAAATGTCAGTGGAAATGTTGATATAACCATCATATCTCTCCCGAGTGGCGCAGTGGTATAAGGCACTGCATCGCAGTGCTAGCTGTGCCACTAGAGATCCTGGTTCGAATCCAGGCTAGAGATCCTGGTTCGAATCATAGCCGGCCGCGACCGGGAGACCCATGGGGCGGCGCACAATTGGCCCAGTGTCGTCCATGGTAGGGGAGGGAATGGCCGGCAGGGATGTAGCTCGGTTGGTAGAGCATGGCGTTTGCAACGCCAGGGTTGTAGGTTTGATTCCCACGGGGGGCCAGTATGAAAAAAATTAAAATAATAATGAATGCACTCACTTAACTGTAAGTCGCTCTGGATAAAATGTAAATGTATATCGAAGTAAATTTGGAGCACGCGATGACATGTTGTGTGGTCCTCCCACTATGTCTTGTGGGGAAAGCATGCAGTGGATTAGGCAACAGATGAAATAAGTTATGATGAACTTCACAGGGTGGTGAAAGGGCAAGGTGATGAGCTTGATGCTCCTTTCCAATAAATAACGAGGGTCTTATTCTGGTGACATGATGATCGATGCTTGACTGCCGTTTGACAAATACAAATATTCTCGCTCTTATCCATAATAATCTCATCATGTAGACTAGCCAAACCGCACTCTATCTGCCAGCTGTTGGCTAGAGTGCACGTGCCAAGACCAGAGTAGGCACATTTGCTATTTAATGCAACAGTTTGACAAAACTATCGGTAGAGTTGAAAATGCGATGGAAACACATTCAACATTCAAATTTTTATTCGGTACACGAAAACGCAGTGATTTTTATCACAAGTCAGTTTGGTGAAAACACCACTGGTGGGAAAATGTGCATATTTTCTTTATGCAGATTTTAGAATATTCGCATGAAAATCGGTCGCCATTTGGATGGAAATCTAGCTACTGAGTCATATACTGATATTTTCTCCCTAAAGCTGTTGGGATGAACAATGGCTCCATGTGATTCATTCATACTAAGACTCATGAGGACAGGAAACGAGGGGAAAGGAATCTTTTGATGTGCCCAACCTGTCTGGGATAAACAGGGGTTGTGTTCCTAATAGCACCCTATTCCCTAAGTAGTGCACTCCTTTTGAGCAGGGCCCATAGGCCTCTGGTCAAACGTAGTGCACTAAATAGGTAATATGGTAACCATGCACATTCCTCCGCTCACACACTGTCACATAGGGTCACACTCATCCGCCTCAGCCCTCTGGAATCCACCCGTCTTTTTCCTCTCCCCCGCTCTCCTTTCTCCCCCGTCTTATACTGTCTCGCTCATATCCTTTCCATTTGCTGCAACTCACCCCGTCAGCCAGCATGTGGAACAGCTCACACATGACACACAACAGCAGAGCTATCATCAGCATACGACGAGCACCTTCCTTCTGCCCATTTCTCCTGAAAAAACAGTGAGGAGATTCATTTTCAAAGGTGACCTTTGCCCTGTCATCCCATGGGCTGTTGATGACTGGCCTCCCCTCATCCCTCTGAGCTGTGCTGGGCTGGAGACTGTGAGTGTGTTCCCTGAGGAGCAGCCTTCCTCTCTGGGTCTCTCCATTCTGAACTGGGCCTGGCCTGGAGGGAAGGAGTCCTGGAGCTCAGCCCAGAGAGTTCCACTGAGGGATACTCCAGGGAAAGAGCCAAGCTGGATTTTCAACAGCAAAGACTCATACACACAGGAACACATACTTTAGACACTCTGACACTGAGAAATACAGACACACACACACACACACACACACACAGCCTGCATGTCCCATCAGTTGTGAGTTTCCCACTAGTTCCTCCACCATCTGGATCCCCTCTCCATCTAGTTTTGGAGTTATTGTCAGAGAGCGCTGTAGAGTGAAAGAAAAGCATCAAAACAGCGATAGATCAACTGAATGCAACCTGATATGTGTACTCCCCAACCCAACGCAAACTAACCCTCCTCACCACAAACACTCAGTCAAATGTTCAAGTAAAGCAGAAGCAAACTGTATCTTGAAACGTCTCTTAATGCGGCACAAACACACTAGTATGACGTGGTGTTTTAAAGGGAGTTGCATCGAAGCGGATGGTGGTGTTTGAGGTGGTGTGTTACTGGAACAGAGTGGTGTTTGGGGTGGTGTTACTGGAACAGAGTGGTGTTTGAGGTGGTGTGTTACTGGAACAGAGTGGTGTTTGGGGTGGTGTTACTGGAACAGAGTGGTGTTTGGGGTGGTGTGTTACTGGAACAGAGTGGTGTTTGAGGTGGTGTGTTACTGGAACAGAGTGGTGTTTGAGGTGGTGTGTTACTGGAACAGAGTGGTGTTTGAGGTGGTGTGTTACTGGAACAGAGTGGTGTTTGAGGTGGTGTGTTACTGGAACAGAGTGGTGTTTGAGGTGGTGTGTTACTGGAACAGAGTGGTGTTTGGGGTGGTGTGTTACTGGAACAGAGTGGTGTTTGAGGTGGTGTGTTACTGGAACAGAGTGGTGTTTGAGGTGGTGTGTTACTGGAACAGAGTGGTGTTTGAGGTGGTGTGTTACTGGAACAGAGTGGTGTTTGAGGTGGTGTGTTACTGGAACAGAGTGGTGTTTGAGGTGGTGTGTTACTGGAACAGAGTGGTGTTTGAGGTGGTGTGTTACTGGAACAGAGTGGTGTTTGAGGTGGTGTTGTTACTGGAACAGAGTGGTGTTTGAGGTGGTGTGTTACTGGAACAGAGTGGTGTTTGAGGTGGTGTGTTACTGGAACAGAGTGGTGTTTGGGGTGGTGTGTTACTGGAACAGAGTGGTGTTGGGTGGTGTGTTACTGGAACAGAGTGGTGTTTGAGGTGGTGTGTTACTGGAACAGAGTGGTGTTTGGGGTGGGTGTTACTGGAACAGAGTGGTGTTTGGGGTGGTGTGTTACTGGAACAGAGTGGTGTTTGAGGTGGTGTGTTACTGGAACAGAGTGGTGTTTGGGTGGTGTGTTACTGGAACAGAGTGGTGTTTTGGGTGGTGTGTTACTGGAACAGAGTGGTGTTTGGGGTGGTGTGTTACTGGAACAGAGTGGTGTTTGAGGGTGGTGTGTTACTGGAACAGAGTGGTGTTTGGGGTGGTGTGTACTGGAACAGAGTGGTGTTTGAGGTGGTGTGTTACTGGAACAGAGTGGTGTTTGGGGTGGTGTGTTACTGGAACAGAGTGGTGTTTGGGGTGGTGTGTTACTGGAACAGAGTGGTGTTTGAGGTGGTGTGTTACTGGAACAGAGTGGTGTTTGAGGTGGTGTGTTACTGGAACAGAGTGGTGTTTGAGGTGGTGTGTTACTGGAACAGAGTGGTGTTTGAGGTGGTGTGTTACTGGAACAGAGTGGTGTTTGAGGTGGTGTGTTACTGGAACAGAGTGGTGTTTGGGGTGGTGTGTTACTGGAACAGAGTGGTGTTTGGGGTGGTGTTACTGGAACAGAGTGGTGTTTGAGGTGGTGTGTTACTGGAACAGAGTGGTGTTTGGGGTGGTGTGTTACTGGAACAGAGTGGTGTTTGGGGTGGTGTGTTACTGGAACAGAGTGGTGTTTGAGGTGGTGTGTTACTGGAACAGAGTGGTGTTTGAGGTGGTGTGTTACTGGAACAGAGTGGTGTTTGAGGTGGGTGTTACTGGAACAGAGTGGTGTTTGAGGTGGTGTGTTACTGGAACAGAGTGGTGGTGGTGTGTTACTGGAACAGAGTGGTGTTTGAGGTGGTGTGTTTACTGGAACAGAGTGGTGTTTGGGGTGGTGTGTTACTGGAACAGAGTGGTGTTTGGGGTGGTGTGTTACTGGAACAGAGTGGTGTTTGAGGTGGTGTGTTACTGGAACAGAGTGGTGTTTGAGGTGGTGTGTTACTGGAACAGAGTGGTGTTTGAGGGGTCTAGGACACGACATGCTGTAACAATGTCTGCTTGATTTCTGACTCTGTTTCTCTCTCTGTGTGTGTGTGTGTGCGTTTGTGTGTGTGTACACGTGTGTGTGTGTGTGTCTCCTCCAGGGCTCCAGTCCTAAACTGACAGCCCGTTGCTCAGACATCCTGGAGATCCGCCGCTGCAACTGTCTGGAGATGCCTGACAACACCAACACATTTGTTCTAAAGGTGAGGAAGAGGAGAGACCCCTGTTATTGCCTCATTTCTTGTCCTTTTCTCCACATCACCTTTTCTCTCTCACACACACACACACACACACACACACACACCCTCTGCCAGACCTGCCTCAGTTTCTGTCTGTTCCAGTTCTTGAGTGTGTGTTTGTCACGTCTTTCTGTGTGCGTGTACAATCTCCTTTACCGGCAGTATTATCTCCTCCCCAGGTTAATCACTATCCAGGTAGTCTCATATTTGAGACTGACAATGACCAACAGGTCAGCTCCTGGACAACAGAACTTAAAGAATGGATAAAAAACAGGTGAGAGACGTGCCACATCTAACCTAAATGTTACCACTGTTTAAAATGCTACTCTCCTCCCCATCTACTGTCAGTCTTTTTCTTCATCTAGCTTTATTCCGTGTGCGTGTGCGTGCGGAGCGGTGTCAGGTGCAGCCCCGTGAAAGAGGAAGCGTGGGGGAGGTGTGAATCTCAGTGGGGGGATTTCAGGACCTTTCTGCAGAAGTCTGGATTCTCCATCTCACTTCCCCTCCCCAGACTCTGGTTCTCAGGCCAACACGTTTTCAGCTCTGCAGCACACATGTCCCAAGGCCACACACACACACACACACACACACACACACACACACACACACACATTTGAGTCTCATGCAGTACTGACATCTAGTAGTTAGCATACTGCTATAGGATACCACATTTGTCTTCAAAATAGATACCCTATAAAATGGCTGACGTGTTCTGGGAATGATGAGCTATTGGAGACATTGACACGGCTGTAATTTCCTGTTTTGGAGGATAAAATCGTGCACCAACCCATGGCATGGCCACACTTTCAACATGTCTGTTATCATGCTGTTCCAAATCTAGCAGTTACAGGACACAAGATTATACTCAAGATTGTATGAGTGTGCACATTCATTAGTTTGCGCATGTGTGCAGCTATTTTCCGTGTGATTTCGAGATATACAGTGTCTATAGAAAGTCTACACCCCCCCTTGGATTTCTTCAGTTTATTGTGTTACAAAGTGGGATTAACAATCTACACAAAATGCTCTGTCAAAGTGGAAGAAAAATTCTAACATCTTTTAAAGATTAATGAAAAAGTATACCTTGATTAGATAAGTATTCACCCCCCTGAGTCAGTGCATGTTAGAAACACCTTTGGCAGTGATTAAAGCTGTGAGTCTTCTTGGGTAAGTCTCATAAGAGCTTTCCACACCTGGATTGTGCAATATTTACCCATTGTTATTAAAACAATTCTTCAAGCTCTGTCAAGGTGTTGGGGTCATGGTTAGACAGCAATTTCCATGTCTTGCCATAGATTTTCAAGCAGATTTAAGTCAAAACTGTAACTTACCTGCTCAGAAACATTCACTGTCTTCTTGGTAAGCAACTCCAGTGTAGATTTGGCTTTGTCTTTTAGGTTATTGTCCTGCTGAAAGGTGAATTCCTCTCCCAGTGTCTGGTGTAAAGCAGACTGAAGCAGGTTTTCCTCTAGGATTTTGCCAAAACTCCCGTCTTCCATACCCATACAATGATGCGGCCACCACCATGCTTGAAAATAATGAGGCAGTTACTCAGTGAAGTGTTGTGCATCCAAACATAAGGCTTAGCATTTAGGCCAAAAAGTATATTCCTTTGCTATATATTTTTTCCCCAGTATTACTTTAGTGCCTGCATACAAGATGCATGTTTTGGAATACTTTTGTTTATTTTATTATTTTCACTCTGTAATTTTGGTATTTATTGTGGAGTCACTACAATGTTGTTGATCCATCCTCAGTTTTCTCCCATCACAGCCATTGTAGCTGTTGTAAAATCACCAATGGCCTCATGGTGACATCCGTAAGCAGTTTCCTTCCTGTCCTGCAGCTCAGTTCAGAAGGACGACTGTATCTTTGCATTGTCTGGGTGGTTTAATACATCATCCACAGCATAATTATTAACTTGACCATGCTTAAAGATATATTCAATGTCTGATTTGTTATTGTTACCCATCTACCAATCACTGCCCTTCTTTATGAGGCTTTCGAAAAGCTCCCTGGTGTTTGTACTAGAATCTGTGCTTGAAATTCAGTTCTTGACTAATGGAACCTTACAGATGATGTATGTATGGGGGACAAAGGAATGGGTAGTCTGCTGGCCCCCCTACCTCTGCGGAAGCACAGTTCCCGCTCAGCCCAGTCAAAACTGTTCGCTGCTCTGGCACCCCAATGGTGGAACAAGCTCCCTCACGACGCCAGGACAGCGGAGTCACTCACCACCTTCCGGAGACACTTGAAACCCCACCTTTTTAAGGAATACCTGGGATAGGATAAAGTAATCCTTCTACCCCCCCCTTACCCCCCCCCCCCAAAAAAAATAAAAAAATACATATTGTAAAGTGGTTATCCCACTAGCTATAAGGTGAATGCACCAATTTGTAAGTGGCTCTGGATAAGAGCGTCTGCTAAATGACGTAAATGTAGGTGTTCTAAAATCACGTCAACCCTTATTATTTCACACAACGTGAGTCCATATAACTTATTATGTGATTTGTTAAGCAAAATGTTAATTCTGAACTAATTTAGGCTTGCCTAAACAAAGGGGGTGAATACTTATGCAACAACTGTATTTTAGTTATTTAATTTGTATTAATTTGTTAAACATTTAGTGTTTGGTGTAGATCAATGACAAATTACTATTAAATATATTTCAATCCGACTTTGTAACACAACATTTTTTGAAAAAAGTTCAAGGGGGTGTAGACTTTCTATAGGCACTGTATATACACTGAACAAAAATATAAACGCAATGTAAAGTGTTGGTCCCATGTTTCACAAGCTGAAAAAAAAGATCCCAGAAATTTTCCATAGGCACAAAAAGCTTATTTCTCTCAAATTGTGTGCACAAATTTGTTTACATCCCTGCTAGTGAGCATTTCTCCTTTGCCAAGACAATCCATCTACATGACAGGTGTGGCATATCATGAAGTTGATTAAACAGCATAATCATTACACAGGTGCACCTTGTGCCAGAGACAATAAAAGGCCACTCTAAAATTTGCAGTTTTGTCACAACAGATGTCTCAAGTTTTGACTGCAGGAATGTTCAACAGAGCTGTTGCCAGAGAATGTAATGTTAATTTCTCTACCATAAGCCGCCTCCAACGTCATTTTAGAGAATTTAGCAGTACGTCCAACCGGCCTCACAACCGCAGACCACGTGTAACCACACCAGCACACTGATCTCCACTTCCGGCTTCTTCATCTGCAGGATCGTCTGAGACCAGCCACCCAGACTGTGGGTTTGCACAACCGAAGAATTTCTGCACAAACTGTCAAAAACCATCTCATAGAAGCTCGTCTGCGTGCTCGTCGTCTTCACCAGGGTCTTGACCTGACTGCAGATCGGCGTCGTAACTGACTTCAGTGGGCAAATGCACACCTTCGATGGCCACTGGCACACTGGAGAAGTGTACTCTTCACGGATGAATCCTGGTTTCAACTGTACCGGGCAGATGGCAGACAGCGTGTATAGCATCGTGTGGGCGAGCGGTTTGCTGATGTCAACGTTGTGAACGGAGTGCCCCATGGTGGGGTTATGGTATGGGCAAGCATAAGCTACTGACAACCAACACAATTGCATTTTATCGATGGCAATTTGAATGCACAGAGATACCGTGACGAGATCCTGAGGCCCATTGTCGTGCCAGTCATCCGCCGCCATCACCTCATGTTTCAGCATGATAAGACTGAAACTGGTGGTCACACCAGATACTGACTGGTTTTATATCCATGACCCTAAAGGTATCTGTGACAAACAGATGCATATTTGTATTCCCAGTCATATGAAATCCATAGATTAGGGCCTAATGAATTTATTTCAATTGACTGATTTTCCTTATTAAAATATTTTAAATTATTGCATGTTGCGTTTATATTTTTGTTCAGTGTATATTTATATGCACCACGGCCAGTTTATTAGGTACACCCATCTAGTACCAGGTCAGACCCCACTTTGCCTCCAGAACAACCTGAATTCTTTGAGGCATGGAAACGTTGCTCAATTAGTATCAAGGGACCTAACGTGTGCCAGGAAAACTTTCTCCACACCATTACACCACCTCCACCAGCCTGTACCGTTGACACCAGGCAGGACGGGGCCATGGACTCATGCTGCTTATCCCAAATCCTGACTCTGCCATTCGCATGACGCAACAGGATCCGGGATTCTTTGGACCAGGCAATGTTTTTCCACTCCTTAATTGTTCAGTGTTGGTGATTGCGTGCCCACTGGAGCGGCTTCTTCTTCTTTTTAGCTGATAAGAGTGGAACCCGGTGTGATCGTCTGTGCATTCTGAGATGCCGTTCTGCACTCCACTGTTGTACTGCGCTGTTATTATGGCACGCCTGTTAACTTGCACGATTCTTGCCATTCTCCTTCGACCTCATCAACTAGCTGTTTTTGCCCACAGGACTGCCGCTGACTGGATGCTTTTTGTTTGTCGCACCATTCTCGGTAAACCCTAGACACTATTGCGTATGAAAGGAGGCCAGCCGTTTCTGAGATACTGGAACCGGCGTGCCTGGCACCGACGATCATACCACGCTCAAAGTCACTTAGGTCACTCGTTTTGCCCATTCTAACATTCAATCGAACAGTAACTGAATGCCTGGATGCCTGTCTGCTTGCATTTTCGTGAACGGGTGGTGTATCTAATAAACTAGCCACTGAGAGGACTCAATGTTAATACGTATGAGAAGGGAACTCCATCTCTCTCTCTCTCTGTGTCTCTGTCTGTCTCTCTCTGTCTTACTCACTCACACTCACAGAGAGAGGAGAAGGCTTGTCTTCCTGTTATTCGAAGTTCTCAGAACTGTAGTCAGCATTTTAAGCAGGATTTGATCTGTCTTCCTTCTCAACCTGGCTACCAAAGTGTACGTGTGTGTGTGTGTGTGTGCGTGTGTGTGTGTGCGTGCTTGTGTGTGGTGTTGCTTGGGGTGCGGGATTCATGTACAATAACATTTGGCGTTCTCAAGACTTAACAAGACACGCTTCCTGACCGAGCCCCAACGCTTTTGTGTGCCTCCATCCTGCTGCTTCCTGTAGACTCGATGGCCCCAGTCCTCCCACTTCCTTTCTCCCCTCTGTGGTTCACACAATTAAATAAACCCATTTGTGTATTATTGTAATATTATACTAGTGTGATCTAAATAGGTTGGATTTTTATATTTGACTTCCTTGTGAATAATGCAGAATCATTAAAGAGCAGTTCACACATAGAGGTTGGAGTTGTCTAATCAAGTCAGTTGATGGCAGTGTCATTCCTAGGAGACTGGGCTAACGTTTCAGCCCACTGTGGATTGGCTGCTGCTAACTAAAGGTACTGTTTGTCCACAGGTCTGGAAGCGGAGATTTGGAACGCCTAACCTACCCTATGGACAATGCTGCGACGGCCAACCGGAGAGGGAGCTCCGAGTCAGGGAGTCAGGGTGGGTGTCAGGGTCAGGAAGGGGCGGACCTTCTTTCCCATGCGTGTCGTTTCACAACAAGGAAGTGTGTGAATATCTCAGGATTCTATTGTATCTTGATGTTTGAAATTATGCTGTAGTGGTTACGATTGTCTCAGTTGCTTAGAATCAGAGCATGGTGCTTGTAACAGTTTGAGGAGTTGTGGGTGTGATTCCTGCATGGGTGAACATAGCGGTAATGAGCTAATTGTGGATCAAAATGTCTGCTAAATGACCATGTTATTACATTCTATTCTTACGCCTTGCTTGTCGTCCCCCCCCCCCTCTAGGCTCTGCAACCTTTGCCCTCTCGGAGCAGGTGTACCATAAGACTGACCACTTCCTGTGTTTGTACCCCTGGTTCCACGGCCCCATCTCGCGGGTCAAGGCGGCCCACCTGGTCCAGAACTCGGGCCTGGAGGGCCACGGAGTCTTCCTGGTGAGGCAGAGTGAGACCCGCCGCGGAGACTACGTCCTCACCTTCAACTACCAGGGCAAGGCCAAGGTGGGGCAGAGACACACACAGACAGGTTCTAGAATAATACCTTTTTAGTTTTTGATATAATGTTCTCTATAAAGATGTCTGAATAGAAGCACCATCATCTTGGTCATTGTTGTTAGTGTCCATGTAGTGATCCTTGTAAAATTGAAAGAAGACTTATTCTCTCTCTCGGTCTCCTTCTCTGCAGCACCTGCGTCTGTCTCTAACAGAGTGTGGTCAGTGTAGGGTGCAGCACCTGCGTTTCCCCTCCGTCATGGACATGCTCAGTCACTTCCGCCTCTACCCCATACCCCTGGAGTGTGTCGCCGCCTGCGACGTCACCCTGTCCAGCTTTGTGGTGGCCAACTCCTCCACACAAGGTGAGTCTTCGTTACTGACCCCTGACCTCCACTACACACACACACACACACACACACACACACACACACATACATACATACATACATACATACATACATACATACATACATACATATAACAGAGATGTTGATGACTAGCTAAATACTTTTTAACTTGGGGCTACTGCTAGTTTCAAGTTTTATTAGTTGTTAGTGGTGCGTGGGTCAGCTGCTTGTTCACCCGCACCACCCGCAATTACTAATAACCCATCCGCAATTACTAATAAAATAATATAATAATAATATGCCATTTAGCAGACGCTTTTATCCAAAGCGACTTACAGTCATGCGTGCATAATTTTTTTTGTGTATGGGTGGTCCCGGGGATCGAATCCACTACCTTGGCGTTACAAGCGCCGTGCTCTACCAGCTGAGCTACAGAGGACAATAACCCATCCGCAACTGCTCGATTATATGTGATAAAGTCCAAATTTGAGGCTTTTTTAGATAGGCCTGTTTCTGCTTATTTGTGACATTTTGGTAGACTATTTGTTAGTCAACTTGTCTATAATTAGATACATGCAGCTTCTCTTCTGTCATTACTTGTTGCCCTAGGAGACTAAATAAACCCAGAATAATGTCATGCATAACAAATAGACTACCAAAATGTTGGAAATTATAATCAGAAACATGGTTCATGAAATGTCCAACTTATTAACATCAGAAAACATTCATATTCTGGCCATCTCTGAAACACACGTAGATAATTCATTTTGATGCAGTAGTAGCTATACATGGTTATAGCATGTACAGGAAAGATAGGAATGCAAATGGAGGTGTTGCTATATACACCACATGACCAAAAGTATGTGGACACCTGCTTGGCGAACATGTCATTCCAAAATCATGGGCATTAATATGGAGTTGGTCCCCCCTTTGCTGCTATAACAGCCTCCACTCTTCTGAAAAGGCTTTACACTAGATGTTAGAACACTGCTGCAGGGACTTGCTTCCATTCAGCCACAAGCATTAGTGAGGTCGGGCACTGATGTTGGGCGATTAGGCCTGGCTCGCAGTCGGCGTTTCAATTCATTCCAAAGGTGTTCAATGGGGTTGAGGTCAGGGCTCTGTGCAGGCCAGTCAATTTCTTCCACACCGATCTCGACAAACCATTTCTGTATGGACCTCGCTTTGTGCATTGTCATGCAAAACAGGAAAGGGCCTTCCCCAAACTGTTGCCACCATAGCAACACCCACCCGTAGTCTGCGCTACAGCAGGTATATCTCACTGGTCATCCCCAAAGCCAACACCTTCCAGTTCTCTGCTGCCAATGACTGGAACGAACTGCAAAAATCTCTGAAGCTGGAGACTCTTATCTCCCTCACTAACTTTAAGCATCAGTTGTCAGAGCAGCTTACTGATCACTGCACCTGTACACAGCCCATCTGTAATTAGCCCACCCATACCCATTTATTTTGCTCATTTGCACCCCAGTATCTCTATTTGCACATCATCTCTAACATCATCTATCATTCCAGTGTTAATACTAAATAGTAATTATTTTGCACTATGGCCTATTTATTGCTTTACCTCCATATATTACTACATTTGCACACACTGTATATAGATTTTCTATTGTGTTATTGACTGTACGTTTTGTTTACCCCATATGTAACTCTGTGTTGTTGTTTTTATCACACTGCTTTGCTTTATCTTGGCCAGGTCGCAGTTGTAAATGAGAACTTGTTCTCAACTGGCTTACCTGGTTAAATAAAGGTGAAAAAAACTAAAAAGTTGGAAGCACAGAATCGTCATTGTATGTGTAGTGTTAAGATTTCCCTTCACTGGAACTAAGGGGCCTAGTACGTACCATTTAAAACAGCCCCAGACCATTATTCCTCCTCCACCAAACTTTACAGTTGGCACTATGCATTGGGGCAGGTAGCCTTCTCCTGGCATCCGCCAAACCTACATTCGTCCGTCGGACTGCCAGAGGGTGAAGCGTGATTCATCACTCCAGAGAACGCATTTCCACTACTCCAGAGTCCAATGGCTGCGAGCTTTACACCACTCCAGTCGACGCTTGGCATTGCGCGTGGTGATCTTAAGCTTGTGTGCAGCTGCTAGGCCATGGAAACCCATTTCATGAAGCTCCCGATGAACAGTTATTGTGCTGACGTTGCTTCCAGAGGCAGTTTGGAACTCGGTAGTGAGTGTTGCAACCGAGGACAAACTATTTTTACACGCTACGCGCTTCAGCACTCTGCAGTCCTGTTCTGTGAGCTTGTGTGGCCTACCACTTCGCGGTTGAGCCGTTGTTGCTCCTAGACCTCTCCGCTTCACAATAACAGCACTTACAGTTGACCGGGGCAGCTCTAGCAGAGCAGAAATGTGAGAAACTGACTTGTTGGAAAGGTGGCATCTTATGACAGAGCCACGTTGAAAGTCACTGAGCTCTTCAGTAAGGCCATTCTACTGGCAATGTTTGTTTATGGAGATTGCATGGCTGTGTGCTTGATTTTATACACCTGTCAGCAACAGGTTTGGCTGAAATAGCCGAATCCACTAATTTGAAGGGGTGTCCACATACTTTTGTGTATATATAGTGTATCTAAATCAGGCAAAAAAAACTATCCTACACCCCGTCAAAAAATAGTTCTGTTGTCTTTGAATGTAGCCTACAGCATTTTCTGTATTAGCGGGTTAGGGTCGGGTGCGGTCCTCAGATTTTCACATATAGTCGGGCGGTTGCGGACAGGTTATTAGTAATTGCGGGAGCGTGAACAAACAGCTGACCTGTGTGTGTGTGTGTGTGTGTGTGTGTGTGTGAGTGCATGTGTGCTAAGGTGCAGGTGGTCAGTCCAGTTCAAGTGTTCAGCAGTCTGATGGCTTGTAGAAAGAAACTGTCTCTGAGCCTGTTGTTATGCTCCAATAACGTGTGCCCTCTTGACAAGAGTGGTGGTGTTGGTGGTCCATGTCAAGTCCTCGGAGCATGTTCCCTCCTCTGCTTCCGGAAGTCGACAATCAGCTCCTTTTGTTTTGCTGACGTTGAGGGAGAGGTTGTTGTCCTGGCACCACAATGCCATTTGACTTACCTCCTCCCTATAGGCTGACTCCTTGTTGTTGGTCATCAGACCTACAGTTGTGGTGTTGACATGCAAACTGATGGAGTTGGTGTCGCGTTATGGTGATGTGCTAACACTTTACATAAAGATATTAACATTTTGCACACAAAAAAACGTATTTGAAAAATAGACAGTATTTTACTTTAATTGTTATTAATACAGCTACAACTATGGGAATATACAGGATAGGATATGGGAATCGGCACAAAAAGGATGTTACAAGTCAAAGCCTTTATTTATGTCAGCATAAATACTCTAATGTCATTGTGTCCCCTCGCCCTCTTTCAGGTCAGATTTCAGCAGCTGTCCTGGTTCCCTTCTCCCTGCACCGCTGGAGCTCCGAGCCCAGCCTGGCCCACAGCCCGCTCCCCTCAGCAGCCCCCTCCCCAGACCCCCTGCCCCAACCCAGGCACCCTCTCCCACGCACTGCGCCCTTCCCAGACCTTCCCACCTCGGGTCCCTTGCGTCGGAGCGAGTCGGTGGGCCGCAGACCCCTGCTGCGTCACCCCAACCCCCACCCACCCCTCCTCACTCAACGGGACTCCGACTACGAACTGGAGCCAGACAGAGGCCGCAAGAGGGCCATCGACAACCAGTACATGTTCCTCTAACTGGAGCCAGACAGTGGCCGCAAGCGGGCCATCGACAACCAGTACATGTTCCTCTAACTGGAGCCAGACAGTGGCCGCAAGAGGGCCATCGACAACCAGTACATGTTCCTCTAACTGGAGCCAGACAGTGGCCGTAAGCGGGCCATCGACAACCAGTACATGTTCCTCTAACTGGAGCCAGACAGTGGCCGCAAGCGGGCCATCAACAACCAGTACATGTTCCTCTAACTGGCAGACTCCTGGTCACAGCCGACCCAGTGGTGGCTCTGAGACTCCAAGCGAGCGCAGGACGGACTCATGAGTGAACGTGTATGCCAGAATGGAGGTCTGTCTCGTGGGGTGGGTGTCAGAGTTCCGACCCGAGTGTCCATTATGAATGTATTTTTAGGAAAGTGTCTGTTCTATGATTATTCTCATTTTATGAAGCGGCTGTTGTGGTTGTTCTAAGGGATGTTGCTACATGGGAGTGGCGCTGGTGTGGAAGGTCTTCCCTCACTCCCTCTCCCTCCCCCTTCTATAGGGGTGAAGCATTAGGCAACACTCCCTCCCCTCCACACACAAACACACTCCATTTTATAGTGTATTGTAATGTTCTTTGATACCCTGTGTATTAGTGTATTTCAAATGCACACATTGTATACACAGTGTACTTTTAAAACACTGTGTATTTTAGTATGCAGACTATTTTTGTAGAAAAGATGAAGGTGTTGAAAAAGAAATAAAAAAAAAGCTTAACTGTGATGACCCTAGGGCTGTTACGGTGACACATATTACCGCCACACCGGCGGTCACGAGTCATGACCAGTCAAATTCCATGTGACCGTTTAGTCACGGTAACTAGGCTTCTCCAAAACTGCGCTCTGGTGCTGCTGCTGGTCATTAGTAGCCTACCAAACTTGCTAACTGCCTGGTACTCCGCTCTCTATTGTACCTCTAATCACTCTGACATCAATGCAAATGTAATCGAAAATCAAATCAAACACTTCTTGAGAACCCATGAACTCATGTTGTGCAACATTTTTATAGGCTATGCAATTGCGTGAGAAAACAGTGTTTTGATGGTCTGTATTAAAAAGAGGAGGATCCCATCAGCTTTCTATAGGCTAGGCCTACTATATTTATTTCTCAACTTTCCTAATATTAAGCACATTGCTTCTCTTTAAAACAGGAGTATAGCCTACCTGGCTGGCATGAAAATGAACCACGGGAAAAGTGTCCTCCATTCTATATTTAAGTGTATTTTTTTCCCCTGCCCGTTTCGAGACAGGTACATGATAATGGTCCATTGTAAATCAAAACTAATTTCACACATTTATTATATGTAAAGACCAGATTAAATTAAGAATAGTCTGAATAGCCTATCACTTGTGAATGATGCCCAGGGAGTGCAGTGAGGCAAGAAACAGCGCATCCCTTTTAGACTTTTTGTAATCATAGTCGCACATGTCATGTAGCCTAGCCCGGCCTATATGTTTTGATAAGGTTTGTATCACAACTATACTGGCCTTAAAATTAAGCACATTATTCCGCTTTACATACATCAAAAGTAACATTGAAAAATAGTCATCAATATATATATAAACACACAGAATCCCAAACACCAAACATAATGTTCCTACATCTGAGTGTTGTGTAGTGTGATTTTTGTAAATTTCACCATAAAAATGCACCTTTATAATAAAGCATTACATGCATAATGGCATTTGCAGACTTATGTAAGATGGCCTACTATTCGTAATGTGATGAGTAGATTGGATAGTCATAACTTACGCTAATAATATAACTCAATCACTGTTCGCAAAAAAGACTGTTCAATGCATGCATGGCTGAGCGCTTAGCGTAGGCCTGGGCTATATCAGATACGTTTCTTTCTTTGCATGGGGAAAAATGTGGCCTTTTTATAAACACATTTCATGTAATTCTACTACACTTTATATATAGCTGGAGACATTAGCAGAATATTTTTTTAATAGGACAAATTAAAGAGTAGCCTACTCAGCTGACAGTGACAAAAATATCAATTAAAAACGACATTGTCCATATAATAGGCCTACAAGGGGAGACACAAATATATTATGATGTCCATCTATACTGGAGGGGGAAATTATCGTTTTTGGACAAACTTTTAACCTCTTAAGGATCGGACCCTTTTTTTCCAATTGTCACCTAAAATGACATACCCAAATCTAACTGCCTGTAGATCAGGACCTGAAGCAAGGATATGCACATTCTTGATACCATTTGAAAGTAAACACTTTGAAGTTTGTGGAAATGTGAAATTAATATAGGAGAATATAACACATTAGATCTGGTAAAAGATAAAACAAAAACATACATATATTTTTTTCATCATTGACATGCAAGAGAAAGGCCACAGTATAATATTGCAGTTTAGGCGCAATTTAGATTTAGCAGTGTGTGTGCAAAGTTTCAGATTGATCCTGTGAAGCATTGCAATACTGGACTATTTTGTATCAAGTCTGCCCAAATGTGCCGAATTGGTCAATTGATACATTTTCAAGTACATAACTATAGAGAATATGCAAAAATGATATGGTAATACAAAATGTCAGTTTACAAACTCCCAGGAATGTCCTACATGATGGATCATTAGCTTATACACTAACTTTCACACATCTAGGTGGGTGTGGAGCCAGAGACAACGGGTTCAAACTGTAGAACCCAGTTCCTACATTGAAATATAAAAATAGATTTTATCAAACAAAACTATGCTACATTTTATCTCTGGGACCCTTAGGATGACAAATCAGAGCAAGATTACTGAATGTAAGTACATTATTTACCTTCAGAGGTGAATGTATCAAACTAGTTGCCGTGATAAGTTTTTTGTTGTTGTACACTCTCCTCAAACATTAGCATGGTATTTTTTCACTATAATAGCTACTGTAAATTGGACAGTGCAGTTAGATTAACAAGAATTTAAGCTTTCTGCCCATATAAGACATGTCCTGGAAAGTTTGCTGTTACTTACAACAGTCATGCTAATCAAATTAGCGCACGTTAGCTCAATCGTCCCGTATACGGGACACCAATCCCGTAGAGGTTAAGTAGCACTGAACCAACAATGTTCACTCAATTAAGTTGAGAATTTTGATAACTAAAAGACAGATTAGTCCTTTCATTGTCTATTTGTAAGTCGCTCTGGATAAGAGCGTCTGCTAAATGACGTAAATGTCTACTCTTTACAGCATTAACCATTTGCTTTCCAAACGATGTTTTCCCGCAATTGTATTTTGAAATATTGCGATATGCCTGTATTGGCTTCTCTACTTTTCACAAACAGTCGCAACTCAACAATAATCTGCCCAAATTGCGCACTGCCTTTCCTTCCAACTATAGACAATGCGATTTAAAACAATCCACAACTGTATTTTTATTTTATATAAGCTAAGTAGGCCTATCCTCTGTGGCAAAATCATGCTTTAGTAGCCTATTTTGAATGATTTTATTTATTTCTGTATAGACCGGAGTAGGCTAATTAGGCAATATAATTTTGGCAATTTAATTCAATTTACTTTCAATAGCTTCCCCTAGACTTATGGACGCATATTAAAACGTAACCTCCATATGCTATTCGAGTGCAGGCTACGGATGACTTTTTTTTTTGTGGGCCATTCTAATAAAAGATTATTCCACACATATATTAGTAGGCTATATGTAAAGACCATATTAAATTGAGAATAGTCTGATGGGTGAGAATATTATCAAGTGCTTGTCAAATTGTGAATGAGAGACTAATGAAGTGTGTGCAGCCTGCACAAGAAACAAAGCAGAGCTCATGCCTTTCATGCAACTTTTTTCTAATCATCATTAGTCGCATCATGCAGCCTTAGAATGTATTACAAATCAAAACATACAGTGGAGAAAAAAAGTATTTAGTCAGCCACCAATTGTGCAAGTTCTCCCACTTAAAAAGATGAGAGGCCTGTAATTTCCATCATAGGTACACGTCAACTATGACAGACAAATTGAGATTTTATTTTCCAGATTATCACATTGTAGGATTTTTTATGAATTTATTTGCAAATTATGGTGGAAAATAAGTATTTGGTAAATAACAAACAAGCAAGATTTCTGGCTCTCACAGACCTGTAACTTCTTCTTTAAGAGGCTCCTCTGTCCTCCACTCGTTACCTGTATTAATGGCACCTGTTTGAACTTGTTATCAGTATAAAATACACCTGTCCACAACCTCAAACAGTCACACTCCAAACTCCACTATGGCCAAGACCAAAGAGCTGTCAAAGGACACCAGAAACAAAATTGTAGACCTGCACCAGGCTGGGAAGACTGAATCTGCAATAGGTAAGCAGCTTGGTTTGAAGAAATCAACTGTGGGAGCTATTATTAGGAAATGGAAGACATACAAGACCACTGATAATCTCCCTCGATCTGGGGCTCCACGCAAGATCTCACCCCGTGGGGTCAAAATGATCACAAGAACGGTGAGCAAAAATCCCAGAACCACACAGGGGGACCTAGTGAATGACCTGCAGAGAGCTGGGACCAAAGTAACAAAGCCTACCATCAGTAACACACTACGCCGCCAGGGACTCAAATCCTGCAGTGCAAGACGTGTCCCCCTGCTTAAGCCAGTACATGTCCAGGCCCGTCTGAAGTTTGCTAGAGTGCATTTGGATGATCCAGAAGAGGATTGGGAGAATGTCATATGGTCAGATGAAACCAAAATATAACTTTTTGGTAAAAACTCAACTCGTCGTGTTTGGAGGACAAAGAATGCTGAGTTGCATCCAAAGAACATCATATGTTTTTCTGCAAAGGGACCAGGACGACTGATCCGTGTAAAGGAAAGAATGAATGGGGCCATGTATCGTGAGATTGAGTGAAAACCTCCTTCCATCAGCAAGGGCATTGAAGATGAAACGTGGCTGGGTCTTTCAGCATGACAATGATCCCAAACACACCGCCCGGGCAACGAAGGAGTGGCTTCGTAAGAAGCATTTCAAGGTCCTGGA